AATGATGTGTTATAAACTATTGAATATCATGCCTAAAAATTATTCCCCTCTCACAACAGCTACGATGTGTCATAAACTGTCAAACACCATACTACAAGCTAGTCTACAAGCACAACAGTTATGATGTATCATGAACTAATATCATGTCTGCGAGCTAGTATCCTCACAAAACAGAAATGGTGTGTCATAAATTATTAAATATCATATCTGCGAGCTAGTCTTCTCTCACAACAGCTATGAAGTGTCATAAATTATTAAATATCATGTCTGCAAGCTAGTTTCCTCTCACAACAGCTAAGATGTGTCATACACTGCTAAATATCGTATCTGTATGCTAGTCGCCTCCCACAACTGCTACGATGTGTCATGCACTATTCAATATTATACCTGCAAGCTGATCTTCTCTCCTATAAGCTACTATGTGCCTGGCTGCTGCTGATACAGCCGTCTACATAGCTTGTAAATTCGAATTTTGTGTTCACACTATCACATATGCAATCAAAAACTATTAAACTATACTCATAAACTATTGAATATCATACTTGCAGGCTGATCTGCTCTCATAACAGCTACGATGTACTTCGACAGTGATTTCTTAGTGGCATGGCCGCCTATAGAGAATGTGCCTTCGAATGTTGGGTTTGCATTATTACATACGCAACAAGTATATACTAAAATAATCGCATACACTATTTTATGGTCGCCTCTCACAACCGACACGATGTGCCAGGGCACCGTTTTCTTAGTGACACAGTTGCCTATGGAGAATGTGGCTTCTAATGTTGGGTTGGTTTCAAACTATTACATATACAACAAGTAAATACTCAAATTATACTTGTACATTATTAGATCCTGTACCTGCAAGCTGGTCACCTCTCACAACAGCTACTATGTGCCTGGGCACCGCTTTCCTAGTCACATAACCGCCTATGGAGAATGTGGCATCGAGTGTTGGATTCGCTGACTTCCGCGCGTCGAAGAAGGTAAAAAGCATTCTAGAGGCATTCAGTGCAGATACAACAGGATGTAAAGGAATAGATTAAACTGGTGAAATGGAATAGCGGACAATACGATTCGAATACGAGCAACCTATAGTTTGACTAAAAATTGCAAATTGATTGAGCACTCTTTCGTTCGTATGCAGTATGCGAACTAAATTGGGTATCAACCGAGGTCAGTATATATGTATAAGCTCGGGATGCACAGCGACCTTCTGAACGCGTGATCACTGTCGTTCACATACCGTTTGGCATTGTTGACGGTCACATTCAACTCCTTGCTCAGGCTTTTATATGTGATCAGCTTCTGATCGTCCAATACAGCGGTGTCTAAGTAAGACATGAAGGAACTAGTAGAGGGCGTCTCAGTGGCCGATACGGTCGCATTCATTTCCACCATGACTCTGGGTGCTACTTACCAGCAGAATCCACTAACGAGTACCAACAGATATTTGCATATACTATATATATATATATATATAATATATAACAAGTGTGGCCCTCCTTTATAATCACCATTCATCTCAGCTTTTTAACACTTCAAATATTGGCATGTCAGAAAAGGGCGGGATTTTATAAAAATTTCCGAATCAAAAACAGGTGCTATTGATTCTGTAACTAAACATGGGACACCCAGTAAGAATGAATACAGCTTAGCCTACTAATCCAGAAGACTATGTATGAAATGTGGGATAAAATACAAATTATGTAT